GAAACTTGCAAGCGAAAAGCAGGCCGTGACGTGATATTCATTGCATCCATTCAAGTGCAATTTGTAAGGGCGCGGTGACACAGACCTATTTCATTTTAAGGTTATAATCCCTTGTTCATCATGACGTCCTTTTTACTTTGATGTCTTAACAGCGTTACGGAGATCGCGTGATGACGTGAGGGTTCTGCCTTTGTAGTGAGGGTTGTAAGTTGACGCCGAGGAGGGGGGAGGAGGCGCCTTGCCCCCCCCCCCATGTGGAGTGACGTCACCCGCTAATTATTATGAATGGAGGGGGGGTGTCCATTTGGAGGACATCACCTGTTCATGATTATTGAGGGGGGCTGTTCGATGTGGAGTGACGTCACCTGCTCGCAGCAGCTTTTGGGTAGCCATCGAACAAAGTCGGGCACTGCATCGCGCGCTTTCAGATGCACTTCCGATATTAGGAAGCCACTGCACGTTAAAATCTTAATTGAAAGTAATTTAGAACTGCTTTTTGTGTTTAGTCCTTCGCCCGTATCTCTGATTAGCATGGTTGGCTAAGTACGGTGTGAAAGAAGTTCAATATACAAACAGACTATGTTTTTAATCCAGAAACTTTCATTAAATTCCTGGCCATGGCTACAATGAGTGTGTGAGTGATATCTGAATTGGTTCTGGACCCTCACCTTCACCAACCCACAGAGCGTGGCGAGGCCTTTATTCAGCAGTAAATTGCCAAAGGGGGGCTTGTACATTGATATTAATTATATCGTGAACAAAGTGATAAGTGCAACATACACCATTCTCGTTGAGCCTTGTTAACGAACACATGTACGTAAGATGTGTATGAACACATGTGCACGGAGGCACAAATGTACGCATACATTGTTGTTATTAGTCAGCGCCATGCTTGAATATTATTTTTAAAGGACGAGGGCACAACATAAAACAAAATGATGACGACAATGATACGAGCACGAGGGGTATATATCACCGTAAAAAAATATAGCACACGTGTGAATAAACTTAAACATAAAAATAAATTAACAGCACTGTGCATTAAGCTTTGTGTGGCGTCATTGCACGGTAGGTGCTTACTGGGGGACGCCTATCCTCTGGGATGGAGCATCGTTACGTTTGACAAATGGGCTATGTTGTACACTATCCATCAGTAGGCCCCTTCATGCACTCTTTGGCACTAGGCCTTAGCTGGGGGGAAAAAAAGGCAAGAGTATAGAAATATATAATGAAATTGAACAAAACAAGCAAGAGGATTGGAGAGAGGGAGAAAGGGACAGCAAGAGAGCAGGAGAAACTGAAGATAGGCCGGAGAGACTGGAGAGAAAGCGAATCGGGACAGAGGGAGAGAGAGAGGCATTTTTAAAACCTCTCATATGCGAACAAATGGGCCAGAAAGCAAAAACATGCACGGTTAGCGATCCGATGGAAGGAGAAGAACAGCAACCGCCGGCAACCCGAGAGAGGAAATCTATTTAAAAATATGCGGGAAGGAAAATGACCCCATACCCAAAAGTCAGCCAGAGGCATTGTGTTCTGGTAAAAGAGCTATAACTCTACGTTCTACTTACATTTGCAAATATCAGCTGGGAGTGAAGAAAAATAAAATATATCGTGTATGAAAATGAAAAACCCCTTCCTTTTAAAATGAAATTTCCAGTGCAACATTTTTCACATCTGTACCAATAACAGATCAAGGGTGGAAATGGGAAAAGTATATAAACTGTTTCAGGTTGAGCAAAAGTTTATTTTTCTCAAGGTTTAATTTATATTTTTAGAGAGATCACTTTCTTAACCCTTTCAACCGAAATGACAAATGTTCTTCGTGCATTAAAACGTTAAAACGAGTGTAGAATACTACAGAAAATACCAAATCAATGCTGCTGATGCACAATTGCTTTCCTCGCATGAAATGTGCCACCTCTTTCCGGGTGTAAGATTTCAAACGCATCATGACCAAAATAATTAAAATCTATTTCATCACACACATGTCAACACAAGGCAGTGTACACAACCTATAGATTCTGCCGCTCACTGTCTGGCAAACAGATTCACGCCCGGCTTGCAGTCACCGTGCAAAAAGAGTTGAATGAATTACAGTTGACAGTTCCTTAAAAAATGACATCTTCCAACGAAAATAAAACCACACTTTTCATTCCGCTGCTCGCTAATCCCAAAATTCCAATTACTGGCAAAGCTAATGAATGTAGCAGCTAATGGTGTGCAAGGAGCAGCATTCCGGAGCTGCTGTCACTTCAGTTTGGAGCTGCCGACTTAATCATAAATCACGATTAGCTGGATAATGAAGATTTCGGACAAAATGCCGCCACATCAAATTACCTGTGTGCTGCATTAAATGGGGTCAGCGGCACAGGAGGTGTGCGCTTTTGGAAGCGACTTGAATATTGCAACTGCTGAAAACCTGGCCTGCCTGTCATGCTAAACCATACGAAGAGCACAGAGCAAAAAAAAATCTACGTAAATGTCAGAAGATAGTATCATGTTAGGTTTTCACCAATATCTCCTGAAAGGTGTTGGGGGCACCGTTATATCAAAATTCAGGATTCCTACTGCCCAACTTTTGCTGTTGTATACATTGAACTGCCAGAACAACAGGTATCGAGGTGCTCCATCATTATGGTATATTTATATCCACAATACACAACGTATAGGCATGACCTAAATCAGTGCTTTTCATGCTAAAGTTTGCTTGCGTAATGAAATATATATTCTTTCAAAATTTGCATGAAGTTGCTCCTGGTGCATCCGCAAACCACTCATTTCAGCTGCTGCCGTGTTACCCAGGGCAAGCGTGCAAGTACGTAACCATGCGGGTTCAGTACATTATCGACTGGCAACTGCTGCACCACATTGATCACTGTAAAATGCTGTTAAAAACTTCAGTACGGCCCGACAGAATAACCTTTTCCCAGAAAAGCGTCTTCCGATATCCCCTAGACCTCCCCAACCACTTCTCCCCCCCCCAACACCAAGCCAACTCTTTCTGTGCTCCCCCCACCACTGCCCAAACAGCAACACTCAGGGCCCGGCCCGGCACAGTCCCTGGTGGTTTGTTGTAACCCGTGCTAATTAAATCAATTCTCCGGCAAGTCGATTCCGCCGCCAGCCTTAGCGCCGGCCTTGCGCTCCAGCACTCCTCCTTTGGCTTGGAAATGCATCATTACAGTGCGATGAACGGCAAGTGCAGCGCAGGACAACGCATGATCATCCGCTGCCGCAACTCCCCAATGGTTTAGGAATGTGGGGCTGTGTACGCATTGGGAAACATGTTACGAAGCTGCACAAGAGAAATACAACGAATGCATTGAGATGTAGGACTAATGCAAGCAACAAATGAGCTGGAATGCAAGGGTTATCTGAATAGCAAGGATGATAACAAAAAGGGCAGAGCTTTTTCTTGATACATTCCTACACATCAATAAGGATATTATGATAATTATTTGAGATTATTCATAGAAGTGGGATCTACAACGGAACAAACCTGATCGAATGACGAGTCGCCTACAATTAAAACCGCTCTTATTTGTAACCCTATTATCAGTGGGAAATCGTCTGTGGACACTCCGAATTTCCGTGGGTTGATTAGTCATATCGTAAATTTTTTTACGGACAAGGGTTTATCCAGAGGAGATCACAGCAAAGCCTAAATTCAACCTGCTACCTGGAATTGGACATGGAAAAGATGATAAACAATGAAGACCATCACAATATTCATCACATTGTTGTTGCTACTGCTGCTGCTGCAGCAGCATATATCATGTGCACATACTCTGAATTAGTGCTACACAAATTCTATTATATTGGTCTTCTCTATGGATTTGTGGCAATGCTTTAAACATATTTCGTTTGACTATACAGTTTTTTCCAAAGCTTGATATTATTGTCACCTTGGTGAAATTCAGCAGCGGTAATATTTAAATGGAAAGCAACGGGACACGTTAAAATTTGATTTGGAATGGATGACACGCAATAATGAATACACCAAAAGAAGCAAACCTTTGCTTGTGAATGTAAAGATAGATGTATTTATTTATTTATTTTACCAAAAAAACCATGGACAGATGTAATTTACACCAGACTTGCTCTTTACAAAAGGGCCAGAATAAACTGCGACTTGTGCCTTGTATCCTATTCAGGGCAAGGAAGGGGATGCCATTAAACTGGCACAATTACAGCCGCTAATTCAATACGCCCACTCCATCTTACCCACTCGCTCACCCAAAGATCTATTAAAGTACCATAAATGTGGCTGCTAACGCAATAAATGTGTGTTCTTGAGGTTCACACTGGCAGCGACAGATATACCTGCTTTTACAACGTGCTCAATCTGTCACTCTTATGCATTTTGCCTTCCCAGCAGATAGACTCACTACCAACAGAAGAGCATGCCAATGCAATATACCGATGGCATCCATTATGTCAATTTTAAACAGACAGACACCGGACTGCAGATATCTATGCATGCAACAATAGTCAATATTGCCCTTCCAAATTGATTAGCATCAGAAGACAATTGCAAAATCAGCCTGCTTTGTATTAATCACTGTTAAAGGCCTGCGCATGAATCGGAAGTAGTGTGGTCAATACACAAAAGAAAAAGGTTGCCAATATCGTAAATGTCTTTAGACAATTATCGATTTCCTATTATGTTACTTTATGTGTCTTGGTACAGCAGTGATTTATAAATAAAAGAGAGTTTGCTACAAATTTTGATTAATATGCATTAAAATATACAGTACAGAGCGGTGAGAGAAATCAGGATTCTCCCCAACAAATATCAGGTAACGTCAATGTATAACACACTGGAATGCAACGCTACATGCGTTTGAAGCAACGCAGTAAGAGGTCCCCAGTTAAATAAAAGACATCATCACTGACCATTCAATAAAAACAAATCCATTGGGAAGATTTTGATTTGTTTGCAATGCCGTGCAGCGTGGAATTAAATGCCCTGGATGTGCATTAGCGTGTGACCCCACCTTTGGCGGCTTGTGCTGCAAAAGTTTGGGCCAGCTTTGAAAGGACATCTGGGTTTTCAAAACGTTCCTCCTTGGCCTTTGTCCAGAAGCTGTTTTCCTTGAACTCCTCCGGCCTGATCTGGAAGAAAGTACACAACTTTAAATTATCCTATCCAGCTTTTTTTGTAGCATACTGATACGTGCTAAAAAGACAAAACAATCCTTGAAAAGGAAGGACATTTATTTAAAAAAAAAACATGTATCTCTATCCTTGAACATTACGAATGTGTTTAAACGTGGTCATTGCAACGCCATTTCAAAAGGTTGGTCATCATCATCAATCATCCTCAGCATTCATGACCCGTGAAGTCCTCCCCACATAATAGCCAACCAACCCTCGCAGTATTGCAATGCCATAAGCCATCTTCTGCACAAAACCTAATCTTATTGCTCCATCTAGAGTTGCATCGCTCTCTCGAGTGTTCCCTCCCTCGGCTGACATTTCATCACCAGTGTCGTCCATTGGCCAACATCCATTCTAGTGATGTCGTAGCCAAGCCCACTTTCTTAACAGTAAATGTGTCTATAACTTGCATTTATTATGATCTACACATTTAGCTAATTGTGTAATCAGTGTAATTGCCAGCATGTATTTACATGGTAATTTGTGCACATCTCTAAGATTTTTGTTCCATTTTCTTTACCAATGCCCATGTTTCCTCACTGCATCACACACTTTCAGTAGCGCTTCTGCAGGCATTCTAGAACGATTTTCCATCTGATATTAGGAAGCCACTGTAGCTATGCACTTTTAAACCTAGATTGAAAACTCTTTTTTTTAAGAACTGAATTTTTCGTGTTTAGTTTGTTGTCCTTCGCCCACACCTACAATCAACAAAGTTGGTAACGTACGATACAAAATAATTTCAAAATACACACATTTCTGATCCATATGCGTAACAGGTACTATGAAATGATTTCAAACTGTTGTCCCTGAGGCACACTAGTACGTTGCTTTTCATTATTAAATTAAATTTTCCAAAAGCACACCAACTGCTCACATTCCCCTCTATATTCCATCAGATGTCAGTTTCAGCTTCCTGAAGAAGGAAGACCAGTCAGCAGAAACGATGAAATATTCCCGACCTCTTGGTGAGAATATTTTATTATTATTATCAACCTGTTATCTTCATTATTCAATCATTCTGACCCAGCCTTCCTTCATGAACTGCCCTAGATAAACAAAGTTCAGTTGTATCCCTCTGACAATTATTTTCTTTTGATCAGCAAACCTCTTGTACAGGATTTTAAATTTCAATTTAAAGCTTTCGTGACTGCAGGGATTCATATTCTTGGTTCTTTCGGTAAAGTCACGTAGAAGGGAAATAATAAAATAATAACAATTTCACTATAAAATTATCACGTTTCGATTGCAACACAAGCAATCATCATCGGGACTTCATTTTAAGCACAAATTTTCAGCCTTCTAGGGAGGTTCTTCCATCATCTCCAGTAGCTCATTTGCTTTGGTTATGACTGTTATAAGCAAGTTCAATTATGTTCATGCCTTCATTTCTACAATTATATATTAAGATATTTCAAAGGTCAGTGTGACAAGACTGAGTGAGAACTCCTCTCCGAGTCGAACTCATCTTCTTACATGCAATTTGTTACTTTCTGCATGCAGCCTCAGCGTGGTTGTCCCATCATTGTAATTTTTTTTTGTTAATTTATATACGTGTGTTTATAAATATTGCACAAACATTGATTTAGACGACAAAAGGCATTTGAATCAGTGAGAACTCATAGTCACCAAAGCTCTTACAGAGACATTTATAGAGTGGTCAGAATGTATCAATTCAATGTACAACATAAATCAGCTATGTATATTCCGATTAAATATAAGCTAATGTAAAAAAAGCCTTAAAACTGTGTTGCTGTATGAATCCTACTGAACATGAGCTTCGGACAATGCATTTCGGTCACGCAAAACTGTTTGCTTTAAAGTTACCCTAGAGGTTGAATGATATACAATTAATTGAGGATTTAAATATTTATTGCAAAATCAAGTGCACCAATTAATCACCTTGTGGAGAACACCACATGCGATCTAGCGAAGTTCATACAGGACACACCTGCGGCCGGTTGCATTAAACACATGAACTGAAGAAATCTCAATTAATTACCGCTGATTTAAAGAGGAGCCTTGGGTAATTTTGTACCTCCAGTTGTTTCATTCGGGTGACCCCGCTGATCCTCAATTTGCACCTTACCTTGGCCCAGTTGGCACGCTTCGTGGAGATTTCAGGCTTGTACTCCTTCTTGGGCTGCAGGCCAAAGGGCAGGCCCGGACGCTGTGCGGCCAAGGTGAAAAGACCAGGCGGCGGAGGAGGGCCTCCCATCCCTGGTGGCGGTGGCGGTGGAGGGGGTCCCATGCCAGGAAGTGGGGGAGGAGGTGGTGGCCCCCCCATCCCAGGTAGTGGAGGCGGTGGAGGAATTCCACCCATCCCAGGTAGAGGAGGCGGTGGAGGAATTCCACCCATGCCAGGTAGCGGAGGTGGAGGAGGAATTCCACCCATGCCAGGTAGCGGAGGTGGAGGAGGAATTCCACCCATCCCAGGTAGCGGAGGTGGAGGAGGAATTCCACCCATCCCAGGTAGAGGAGGTGGAGGAGGAATTCCACCCATCCCAGGTAGAGGAGGTGGAGGAGGAATTCCACCCATGCCAGGTAAGGGAGGTGCAGGAGGAATTCCACCCATGCCAGGTAAGGGAGGTGCTGGAGGAATTCCACCCATGCCAGGTAGTGGAGGCGGTGGAGGAATTCCACCCATGCCAGGTAGGGGTGGTGCAGGAGGAATTACAACCATCCCAGGCAGAGGTGGTGCAGGAGGTGGGGCTGGGGCTCCTCCCGTTGAGTCTGGTGCAGCTGGCTTGATCTTCAATGAAAAGGAACACAAAATCATCGTGGCTATATATATGCTGTAAATATGACCGAAAATGTTACAAATATTCAGGAGTAGCTTCTAAACTCAAGGATGATAATGTATTTGCTGTGATAAATAAGTAGTACATAAATTCTATAAAACAAAGCATACGAATGCAACTCGATGACAAGATAAAATTAAACATTCACTGCAACGAGATCATTCATTCGTATGCACCACCACCGACGGCATGATACTTAATTTTGTAAACAGTTATAACAGTTGAAATGCAATGTATTTTTTACATTTTTACTTGTGACCCTTAGCGAAAGTGATAAGCACCATGCTTACAAAAAAACTCCAATTGACAGCTGGTCCCTCCAGATCACATGGTTGGATATAGCACGATGGTCACAACCATAATTATATGTTCTTAAAATGTATATAAAAATGTAAACTCTCCCAGCCATGGTGGCAAAACAATTACCATTGTTTTCATCATCGACACAATAAATATAACATGCCTCCAATGTAGTACATCTGGAAGTGCCCTGAGGCAGGAAATCCCCAATGGCAGCTGTCCCTGAACGTAGAACAAGCCTGCAAGCAGGAATTACAGTTGCCCATCTGGAGGCGATGTTTGTATGCCGGCTTCCCACTTCGCGAGCAATTGATCAAATTTGGCAAATTCGGAACGCGATGCCGGCACGCATCGGCCTGCTCTGAAGCGATAATCCACGTGGGATCTTTAACGTCCACTGTCAAAGCAAATCGACGCGTCATATTTAAGGTCAATACAATTGGCGGCATTAACCAGGGTTGGCCGCTGGCCTCGAACCTCTGGACTGTGTCACCGCACGACAAGAGGCGAGTTAGCACAATAGAGATTGAGAATGGCAGAGGCACCTCGTCCCTGGCTCGGGCAAACTCCTCCTGCAGTCTTAGCTTCTCTTGGACTTGGAGCTGCAGTTCTTGAGCAATGCGTGTTTTCTCTTCTTCCAGTTGAGTGGCTCGTGCCTCAGCCTCGTACCTCCGAGTTTCCGCCTCACCCTCGCGCCGCTTCAACTCGGCCATGGCTTCCTGTCGCACTGTCATCTCTGCCTCCAGCTGTGGGATTGTGTTGGGAAGGACTTGGTTAGAGGAATAAACTGCTCCGGATAAAAAAAATTCATCATCAAGAATGCCGCGTATAGGCCCAAAGGCTCAAAATGCCAAGCGGTCAGCAAAAAAAGTCGGAGAAAAAAAAGAGCTAATAGGTTATACGAACTTTCGAAAACAGACAATGGGAGGGAATTCCAAAGCCGAGTCATGCGAGGAAAGAAGCAGTGAGAGAAGTGCTGTGACCTGCAGTGTGGTGGTTGAACAGTGTGGATGAGACGGAATGGAAAGTCAAGGAGAGGGAGACTTCAACATGGGTGAAATGCTCGTTGCGACTCAATGGCGATGTTCATATATCGGCAAGGGCAGCAAGAATTTAATGATATCACAATGAAACATTAACTTTTTATAATAACTTACATTAAACAAAGTTGATAATTGGTTCTTTACCCTTCTATCTGGCAACAAAACTGACACCTTTTTGCAAGGAGTCATGTTTGCATAGACCGCAATACCTGCAGTCATAATACAAACAAAAGAACATAACTCTGATAATGTGCACTGTCCTTGAAGTTGATTGGTCCACACCCGAGACAGCTTTCCTTCGAGCCTAGTCTCATATGGGTTGGACCAGATGACGCCAAAAGGCGCACAACTCAAGGACAATGCACCATCAGAGTATGAGAGCTCGGGGCAAGCATCTACACTATGGGGACCTCATTTGCCAGTAAAAATATGATAATTGGTTCTTTACCCTTCTATCTGGCAACAAAACTGACACCTTTTTGCAAGGAGTCATGTTTGCATAGACCGCAATACCTGCAGTCATAATACAAACAAAAGAACATAACTCTGATAATGTGCACTGTCCTTGAAGTTGATTGGTCCACACCCGAGACAGCTTTCCTTCGAGCCTAGTCTCATATGGGTTGGACCAGATGACGCCAAAAGGCGCACAACTCAAGGACAATGCACCATCAGAGTATGAGAGCTCGGGACAAGCATCTACACTATGCAAAAAGGTGTCAGTTTTGTTGCCAGATAGAAGGGTAAAGAACCAATTATCATATTTTTACTGGCAAATGAGGTCCCCATAGTGGAGATTAAACAAAGTTATTCAGTGAAATTAAATTAATGCCTGTTATCGATGTTTTACATCAAACCGAGACAGGGAGACAATACCTTTTAATACCTTTTAATTAGCTTTAATTCCTAAAATAACTAAAAAACAATGAGATAAATCTATCTGTTTAACAGCGCTGGTTTAAACTACCGCTGGGCTGCATTTTACCCATGAGAATTACTTTTTATTTTATTTCCATGTCATTAAACTGTTACATTATTAAATGTAATCTACATGGCCATTATTCTTACTAGATCTAAAAGAAAGGAATGGTGCAGTGGAAATAAATTTCACTTGAAAAATCCCAAAGGAAAATTTCCCCGTGAACAAATTACACTTTGTGTTATCATTCCACCCCACCAGCCCATTTTGAAAATCCATTCAATTTAATCATTAATATCTAGTGAATTCTGTATTCACTGCCTGCACAAGATGACTAACCTTTTTCTCCAGTTCGCTGGCTCTTAACTCGTATTGTTCGACCTTCTGCTGATTCACCATATTTTCTGAAAACACAAAAAAATTGGAAGTTGAAACAAAAAAACAACAAACCAGGCAACAATTATTGGCAAAGTGCAGTCAATAAAATTTGTGTCAATTTCTGAAAATCTCCACAGAATGTGTTTTTTTCTAATAATAGTGGTCTATCAGGCATAACGCATCACGGTCACCAGTTTAGTGTGACTATTTGTGCGTGAGAATTCATAAAATGTTCTTTGTACACAAGAATGGAATTCAATGCTTGCCCTAAATTGCGTCAGCTCACCAATGATGCATGCAAATTTCATTTTCCAGTGGAAAATATGAAGGAAATTTAGTGCATGACCAATATTCGTCACTTAATAAGGATATTACAATTTGGCAAATTGGTACTAATCACGTACATATTTTTTCTCTTTCAATTTTAATCATAATCTAAATATGCAGGGAAAATGTGTGTATTAAATAGTTTTAGTCCATTCAGTAAGAAGACGACCTAAAAAATTCAGATATTTGCTCGGAAAAAGAAAAAAGGATAAAATTATCAGAAATTAGTATTTTTGGTATCCGCTTCATACTGATAGTGCAAGGATATTACAAAGGTACGACGCTTCACAGACAAGCACGGTCAATCAATAGGGTACAATGTTGCTCGATGTGTTTTACCTACTTAGTAATCTGCGAGTAATTTGATAAAATTTTGACTTTGACAACAGCACACGCGGCCAACTCTTTTTCTAATAACTTCATGGGGATCTTTCACATTCGCTGCGAAGCAGTCCGTGCGAAGCTCGTTAACAATATGAACATTCATTTTGGAACAAAAACACACATTTTCTGTAGAAATAGTTGAGTCAAATTAACTTTTATCTGCCCGGGTTGTGAAAGTGATTATTATATGGCCAAGTACCTATTAAATTATCAACGTCCAGGTGGAAGCGACTTGTGGAACGGAAGTCAGGGTCCACACCCCCACGGTGCAGCACCACTTGTGAGATGCATTCCTCGATGAGACGGAAATATTGAGGCCTTTGCAGAACAAAAGCACACACAAAAAACACAAATATCCCCCAGAATAGACTTAGCAGACTGTTGGGGCAAGTGCTGTTAGCAAGTAGCACCTATGAAGGCCAGCACAACACACATACAGCACAGGTGGGGGGGGGGGGGATAGGTGGCCATCACCACGCCCGGCACACATAAACGAGCATACACACACAAACACAAATGTTAAGCATAAACAATATGTAATGTAGAAGGCTAAACACAAAGATTCTCACATTTCTAGATGGTATCTGACTACTACTGCCTAGGTATCGGAGGTTGTCCTGGCAGCTTTTTTTTTGCATCTGTATTGATAAAGCTGAATTCTTAAGTCAGTTAATTTAGGTGAATCAATTTAGTTCTTGATGAAGCTCCACTCACATGGAGAGACACATCGGACATCATACTGAACAACAACGTGGCGCAACATACTTTTTGTTTTTTTATTTAATCTAGTTGTTTTCATTTTAATTGATTAAGTTTTTTTACCCACGTGACTTGACCGAAAAAAACTCAAAGTATGGATCCTTGCAGTCACGAAAACTTCAAATCTAGAACGTGGCACAATCCAAGCAAACATCGGAAATCTGCGGCATCGAAGTGTTCAATTATTTGCCACCTTCTATTATTTGCCACCTTCTAAGTCGTGTAGTAAAAACCAGTGCAACCCAATAACTCGAGGAGCGCAGGTGATTAAAATTCAAACTACAAAGGTCGTAATGTTTTCCTTCCTAGGAGTCTTGTACGGCAGTGCCATGAGAACGCCGACTACAATCCTTTGCATGCGCAAGCCCTTCGTACAACGTGGACAAACATTTCCCTAGCCGATGCTCAAAGCACCCAAGTAAAAAAAAAAGCCTCATTTATAATGCATTTCTCGATTACCCTGTAAATCTAAATCTGCTGGCAGCAGCAGTGAGAGCCTGTCAACTTGCCGGCGCGTCTCTTTCCCAAAGCCCGTCCATTCCCCTGGTCTGTTTGCCGGGCCCCAGGGCTACAATAAAAATCCAGAATGACGGCACAGCGCTGGCTTGGACAAGCACCGCTGAGCGCTGCTCATCACATAGCTAGCAGCCGGTGTTAATGACCGGGATAAGCCTCACGATTAGGTACAGCATGCAGGAATTTATGGAAAATAAGCCTGGCACCAAAATTCTTCCACAAAGCTTCAATTTGTTTACTTTAATTAAATGGCCATGGAAATAAAATAAGGAAGCAGATCAGTGGTACCCAAAAGGATTTCGTCATGCTCGCTGCACCATTGCATCTGTGATAAACAGATGCTGGCATTTGGCCATCTTTTAACCCTTGTTTTACCAGATCGCGAGCCCCAAAGGACAATCCCCTCTTCATGTCTCTAGGATAAAGGGCATGTGCAGTCAGGCAGCAAGAAATCATCTGCCAAGTCGAACTGTTTATATTTATCAATTTAGTAGAGTTTACACATTGGTCTTACACCTTTGTGGCGATTCCTTAATTAACTTACGAGCCACAGTATGCTGTAGCTGCAGAATATTTTCAGCTGTTCCTGCAGATTAATAAAAGGTAGCGCTGCCAGTGTGAAAAGAAATGCCACATTGGCAGGTAAGGGTGCTGATGGTGACATTGGCATTGGGCCAAGAGAACAAAAACAAGGCACATGAAAATATAAAGAGGGCAGCAGCAGAGTATGGGTACGTAAGTGGACGGCACCTGACAAGGAAGTCGTTGCGAATGAGCAGCAAGTGCTGCATTATGGACAGGAAAGGCTGCTCAGCTTGGGTATCCTTCACCGTGTTGGACAGGAAGGCGTACACATCGTTGATGTCAGTGCAGACAAAGGTTAAAGAAAACAAATCTAATTATGCATTTCACATGCACCTCACAACTGCAGCAAAATAATCAGATTCTGTGCAAAAAAACAACATATTTGCGCGTAAACATTTGGCAGCAAATCAACGGTTCAAAAAGCAACATAATGGTTATTGAAGGATATTCCAACTCTCCACGGATATCTTGCAGACGCTGAGCGAAGTCCTGGAAGTCGCCCTCTCGGCCCTCGTCAAACACGCGGAGCTGCACCTCCAGCTGCTCGTTTTGGATTTCCCTCAGGTGCTGTCGCAGGGCAAGTGCACAGCAGACATGATACACGCGTGCCCCAGCTTGCACGCATCTACATTGCTTATATGTCACCCAATAATTGTTTAACACATTTTACAACTGTCACGCTAAATATCATTATCTGTCAATGTCATTCTGTTTGAGGATTTTTATATTTTTTTATATGTATGTAAATCGAAGGCAAAGACAACACTGATTTCTACTCAATTAAGCAATGAAGGCAGTCTACATCATCTATTGAGAGCACCGAGCCAAAGGTCGAAATTCCTCCTTCTTATGGCATGGGCGAGTCTATCCATAGGACAACCACTCTTGACTGTCTTGCAAAGTGGTACTAATTTTATTAACCACGAAAGGATGATGAGTCAATCCCCAAAACAGTATTTGAACTTGTAACCTTCTCGTTCCGAGCCGATCGCTCTTTCGCTGATCCACCTCGACCGATGGAATTAGGCATTTACGAAAGCCTGCGGAGTCTTAACATTGTAGTACATTAGTATTATTTATTATTGAGAGGTAATATTTAAAAACACGTTAAATTGATCGTCATTACATTATCTCCATTTAAAGTATTGAACATACATTTATTAAACTTGAGTCATAAGCTAAACAGTACCGACACAAAGTATGAAAAATAAATGAGCGTTAACATTTTACAGTAGTTTCCAACAATCAAAATCATCACAAATTGCTCAAGCAGATGTCAGTGCATGGGTACCGTAAGCGCCTTGCCTAGGCCATTGCGCATGAACTCGTTACGGAGATGAATCCTGAATTCTAGATCCTCCGGGGTCTCCACCAGAGCGTTTATGAGAATCAAGCAAGCAATCTGCACACACACACACAAACACAGGTGACAACAGGCGTTCGTTTTATCAGGGCGGCCAATGGAGGCTTATGCGTAATCCGGGAGAATAAGGCGATTCCTTTAGAAGAAGGAGTACCCACACTTGACCCCAACGCATGTGACCTGCCAATCAACTAACTGTGGTGTAACCCATTTAAACTGCTGGATGGACGTAAGTGAGGGTTTATTTTAAGAACTTTGGCCATTGCTTCAATGAGCATTGTTCTTAAAACCACGAACTCTGAATTGCAAATCCAGTCCGCTAAACCATTCACGCCTAACAGCTTGAAACAATGAGGGAAAAAAGGGTCTAATTAATCAAATGATTAGTTGAAATTTTGGTTAGGTTAAATAATTAAGAACACTGTGGCCCCTCCAGAACAGTTGTGCACTCCTGCCTTGGGGTTTTTTTGGTACAGGGTTCATGTGAGCAAAGGGAATGGAAGCAATAGTCAAAGAAGCCCATTTTGCAACAATTATATTATCACCGAAAGACCCAACGGGACAGCTCAAGTAGTCTATTGCACACTGGATAGCACTAATATCTGGCACTTGAAGTCATGAGCTGATTTTTCCACACATTAGTCCCTCCCAACATGGATTATGGAGTGGCAGCACAACCGACGCGTCATGTACATTTACTCAGTGGAACCCCTTTCATTTGTAGACATGATATTAGCGGGCCAACATTGATATTAAAACGAGAGCAGCTACTCCTGAGAGGAATTAAGCAAGTTTAGAGAACAATCGGTGAATTTCAATTCGTAACAAATCAGGGGTGATCTTCGGTGAGCGGGATGTTAAATATGCAATTTTACTGCAATTAAAGTACAAAAATTACTCAGTAGGCTCCTAACCATGTGTCCTCTCCCCATTTATACAAAATTACGTGCAATTACTTGTCTACACAATCATAAAAAAGCATATTTTCTCCCAACACACCTTAAGTGGCAGACTCTGCTTTACATCCAGGCCTTCAACGATGGGTTGGAATCGCTCCTGCTCACAGATCTCCGCGCATTCCGCAAGCGCATCCAGCACTCGGCTGGAGCTGACAAGCGGCAGCACACACACATAACCAGACACACACAGATATAAAAAAAACACACACATACATAATCTAGCCCGTTGCAGTGTGCACGTTTTGGCCCGAGGGCCAGGCAGTGTCTTCCTTTATGATAAAGTTTCTTCTTGTAATGCTCGGTGCACATTCGCCCAAATCCGTGTTTAATTTGCAAGTGTAGACATCCAAGGAAGTATGCTTTTGCAAATGGTTCTGTAAAGTGTTAGGGTTCAAAATAAATGGCACTACTAAGCTGTATAACTACTTGGATTCTTTAATTTGTTTGACTAATAGCACACTTAAATCTGCTGCTGCCGTGAGTGTGAAGAGGGTGGTTGTAGGGTGGGTAGACAGAGCCTAGGGAGCTCTACGTATCGTGGTGTTAGGAGGAAAACCTCTCCTTTTCTCAACCGTAAAGTAACAATGTGGTTTACGGCATCCTTAAGCAAGCATTAATTTGGAGAGGATGCCAAGCTTCTACATCAAAACGAATTGTTCTCACACATTCCTGCTTATTACTACACTTGCTTTCAATCGAATTCAAGTACAGGCGGAAAACTGAATTGAACAGGAGAACAGACTTAACACATTTACAATGATTTTGAAAATCGTATTTTCCTAGAAACTGAATATTTGTGTTCGGTTATTTTTGAGGCGGTGACATCGCCCAGTGCATTTGCCACTTGTTGCAAAGGTTCATGGTTCAAATTCCAACGGCCGCCCTGGTTAAAGGCAGTCACTGCATCGCACGCTTTCAGATGCACTTCTGTGGCCGTCTGGAATGCTCTTCCTTCCAATATTAGGAACCCACTAGAGCTATGCACTTTATTTATTTTATCTTTAGAACTGCTTTTCGTGTTTAGTTTGCCATCCTTCCCCCACATCTCCGATTTGCACGGTTGGCTAAGTATGGTGTGAAAGAAGTTCAAAATGCGCACATACAATCCTGTAGCTGTATTTACCCTAAAAATATGCAGTCTGCTTCACATTGCTCGTGAAAGAGCCTGTTATGTCATTCACAAGAGGGGGCAATTGTCTGCCGGCATCATGGACCAATTTACCAAATTCGAAAAATTACCACAAATTACTCAGTTGGAACTATGCTTATAAGTCGTGTACCCACCCCTCTCCACCCCCACTGAACACTTGGCAGGACACTCGTGAAAAGGAGTCGTGAGAGTGAATAATACAGACATTTTATTTACTATTCATTACCTAAGCTGGCCAATTCATGTGTCTTGTTTCAACATGCAATCTCAGCGGATACCTTTAATGTTATTGCCAAAGAAAATACAAAAACGGTTGTATAATGAATGTAAAATTAACTTTACTTAACAGTGTACATTAATTGACAGGAAATCAATCGTATCACAACTCCGGAAAATTGATGAGCCGCTGAGACCACACACTAAGGTTCAAACAAGTGAAAGTTCAGTTTGGAAAACTCGTGAAAATTAATTTGGGCACCTAGGGCACGTCCTAAAGATAAATACAAGTTAAAACTTTGATCACAGCAGGAGTCCCTTCGCGTCTTTGCGAACCTGTGAATTTTTTGGAAAAACATAAGCATATTTTCCACGTCTTGTCTCTTCCGATACCTTCAACATTCGGCTAAGACTTGCCTGTGAAAGTGTTTTGCCCTCCAAGAAAATGTTTCCTTTGAAAGAAACGAGATAAATCTCAAGCTGGGTATATATGGGTTTTTTTTTTCTCATTTGATCAATTTCTATGCAATTGGGCAGAGCCAGAATTTAATATGTACATTTCAAAGGCCTTGAAAGATATGGCAAATTATTAATATGATGGTGAAGCAGCTTTTTTACTTGTAATTCAGATATAAACTATTTGTCCACTTTCTTGATAAAGGATAAAGGCTCATAAATCACCACGGTGTCATGCGTATTCAGATTGATTTTCATTTTCAATACACGCCGGAATGTCCATGGTACATTCAACATCGTCCATCAAATCATTTCTTATACAAATGTTTTTTTTTGTTATTATAATCACCTTAAAATTTTAAACACGTTTCATTATCATTACACTTCATCTTCTTGGTTCTTTCGGTAAAGTCATGTAGAAGGGAAATAATAAAATAATAAAAATAAAACATTAAATAATTCTCACGACGTTTCGCCCACAGCGCAAGCAGCCGTCCTCAGTTGAAGAACAGGTCTGTCGGAAAGACAGCGTCTGAATGACAGGTCTGTTCTTCACCTGAGAGCGGCCGCTTGCATTGTGGCCGAAACGTCGTGAGAATTATTTTATTATGTTTTATTATTATTATTTTATTATTATAATATTTCCCTTCTACGTGACGTTACCGAAATAACCAAGAAGATGAATCCCTGCAGTCACGAAAGCTTTAAATCGAAATCATTACACTTATTTACACAGGAAAGCCTCCCTTAGTCTCAAGATATGTTTTCAGGAAAGTCCTGCCAAGTTGTAATTGCTCCGCACATTCTGATCGAGAAATTTACGGGCAATTTTCAAATGCGGAAAAAATGTGGACCATTACGCAGCGCCACAGTGGCGAGATGTTAAATACCTCACCTAGTATGCAGAAGGTCGTGCATTTGATCCCGACTTTGGAGTGTACATGTTCTACCCGTGGGCCCTCTACCCGTGGTCCTTCAGCTTTTCCCTCAATTATTTATAAACAAGCGTTTAGTTTTGGCTGCTATAAATTTGCACATGGTAAGCCAATTAGTTGAGCTATCATTTATGGCCAGGCTGCTTCTGAAATAGAGTTATATAGCTCAGTGGGCCTTACCTGGTAAAATAAAAAATAGTTGCATTTTTTATTTAGTTCATACGATGGCCTACTCCATCGAATGACATCACGTGTTGTTTAAAGCCCCACTGTGAAGCAGATGGCGCATGTTTTTACGGTTCATACACACGCAGTATTAATCATGGCAGCCATTATCAGAATCTGTATCTAGACTGGAGGAATCCGATAAGTTACGAAACTCTTTTTCACAGATGTTCAGCCACTGGATTTGAATAGTGAACTTCTGTAACAAGCAACATGGCCTCGCATTAGCAAGGCCATGACTCCGTCCCATTTGTGTTACTCAGAAAAATGTGTATTTTTTACTTTGAGGTTTTATTCATTTGTGAAATTGCCCATTTGTTTGGGAAACCTTTATATTTGTTTAAAACGAGAATGCATATTTAAAATGTGGGAAACCGGGAAAAAGCCAGATGAAAATACATTTCAAAATATACCAGCGTCGGCAGTTAAAGCCTCCCTAATGGAGTGCTTGCTAAAATATAGGACAATGAAACTGAAAACTGGTGTGCTATTGCACTTCTTCCATCTATCATACAGCATGTAGTAAAATATATCTTTGGTGCAGTGTCACTTTCCAATAAAGTACAACCAGCCTGTAAAAACCTAGTCACGTGTAATCAAAACCAATGTGCGAGTGTGTGCGAACATGGTATACAGCCAACAGACGGTATGCACCATTCGACCGACAATGGCCCATCACAAGATGAGCAACTTACGGCTTCGCGCCATCAAAATGGTCCTCGTCAAGTATAGAGAGCGCAGACAGCAAGCGCACGGCCTCCACCATCATAGACGGGTGCCGGGGCTCAACGGCACGCGCCAACAAGAGCACGCCGTTGTGGGTGGCCAGCATGGCGCGCAGGCCCACCTGTGCACAGCAAGCGATGAGGATCGCACGTGTGATGCGACTCAGGATGCAAACAGCACGGGGCGATTGCTGCACACACATGTAAGCGCTCCGATGTGATTTCGGATTGTACCGCTTGCTGATCTGCAAGATGTCCGGGCGTTTTGTGCTTCAGTTCCAGAACAAGCTCTCAAGCACGTGGAACAATGTGCATCGTCGTCATGCCGAACAATACACGGTCAGAACTGAATATACATCAGAGAGCTGTGCAGTACAACCATGAATCCTCGACAGTACCACGAACGTACATATATTTTAAAATGCAATTATATTTAGTATTTTTTTTCTGTTGCGGAAATTACAAATGCGAAGACTGTCATCTATTTAATTGTATTTTTCAAGTTTTGGGTACACTGTCTCATTCTTATATGATCAGTGGTATTCAGCTTATCAGAAATCCAAGTGATGTTTCTGAATAAATAGATTTAAAAAATCTATGGTATTATCATGACACTTTCCCCAATGTATTTCAAGAGATGCATAAAAAGAGTAGATAATGGCAGTGCAATGTAGTCTACATAACCACACATGCTCATTTTGTTGGAATGCTGAAATAGCTTTAGTTGATTGGAGGAATCAGTTTTTTTTATTCCCTAATGAGCCAAAATCTGCAAATAATCACATTTCAAAAGGACGCTAGCAATGACATGAGCCGTTACACACTTCACTTATTAAGAACAGCGGGCATATTAATTAAACATTTTCAAGTGTCAAGGAAGAGCAGGTGTCTCTGAGACTAGCATCAGAGACATTCTAGGGGGTACAAATCTTCCTTTAATGTTTATTCACTGCAATCTCGTACATACGTTTGTGAAGATGAAACCACAAACGTCACGTGTGCCACATGCAGAGTTGGAATAAATTGCATTTGTAGGTTATATAATGCATTTCCATTTAACAACAGCCCGTTGCTTTTAAGAAATACATTTATTTATTCTCTATAAATTCTGTACGAATTTATTTCCTCAAAAAGTTGTCTCCCAAAATATACGTTCATCAACGTGCGATGACATCTTTTGAGTGCCGTCTGTCAGTTCACAAAACTTATTTATATGGAGGCCTTAAGTCACTCACATTTTCCTTGTGATTTCACGCATTGCAGAATATATTGTGCTATTCAATACAAGCCATCGTGTTCCTGCACATGTTCAACTTAACTTTTCTTCTATATACACACACAGTCTTATAGTATCAGCTTCACATTAAAAACATGAAAATGCTAATTTAATTAAACATATTAATTAAATACATGCTAAAAAGTACAATTAAGGGATTTTTTTTACTCAAAAATGTAAAATAGTAAAAAAAATAAACACTTTTCCGACAACAGCAGTTTACCAAAACCATATCAGGATCACTATAGATTCATCAAATTATACAGGCCTGTTTAAATGAATGTATCCCAGGTGGTAATCTGATAACACTATATAACAATGAACCCAAATGAAAGACATAATAAACCCCCGGAACAAAGGGTTCACGTAATAACATTTCAGCCCATAATAAATCAGGGCATGTCACGATCTATTATCCAGGAATTATTTATTACAGTCACTTTAATTGTTCAACCATTTTCGTGTTAATAACGTCAAACCACAATGTAAACACGTACGTAAGTACACGTCACGCAAGTCCCCCCACACACACTGAGAAAGTTGAATGTGTATGCTCCAACACAAGCACGCACATTACAAAAGTCAGCGGCTGTGAATGGCACAAGTCTGGTGGGCAGGGCAGGCAGATTATCCTTCATTGAAAAACCACTGGCACCTAACTGTGGTCAGCATGGTGCATGTGCCTGCCTGTTACCAGGGCAGAAATACAACATACAGGCCAGGCAGATGAAAAATATGGACAGTGGAGAGCAGAGGGCCTTCAAAAGAAGGGTTGGGGAACAAAAACAATGTCGGTGATATATTTATTCATAGTAAAAGCCCCTGCACTTAACCGTAGCCGGCATGGCGCACAGGCCCATCTGTACATGGGAAGGGCAACAAAGCAGAGGCCATGAGAAAGCAAGGCTTGAAAGAGAGACACAGAATACAAATGAATCTGGGACACTAGATGGGTGCTAAGGGAGTAGGGCGGGGAGTACTTTTGCTGGGTGTTAATGGCCACATGGGCAGATCAGGAAAACAGTGCACCACAAGAGAGAGAAGGGCAGGAAAAACCAGGAATTGGGATATAGGGGGATACCAAGGGAGAATGCCCTGACTAATCGTTGGTGCACATTAGAAAACAAACGTCTGAAGTAATTGTGCAATATGAATAAGCCATTTAGAGTACCCAGAATCAAATCCTTTTCAGTAAAATGTGCTGATTCTAACTCATTACGGAATTAAACGTACATATACATGATACTCCCCCCCCAAGTATACATTTCACTTTATAGTCATGAAAAAATCTCGCGCTTAAGTATGCTAGTCATGAAAAAAAAAACCCACTCCGTTGACACCCGACGCTTACCTTGTTGTTCATGAAGGCCCTCAGGCAACGCACGATCTCGAGCTGAATTTTCCAATCAAAGTGATTCGGGCTGAGCACAAACACAAAACACTCGCACTTTAATTTCTCTGCAACACTTCCCAGTGTCTGCTTGAGAAAGGCATCTGAAGGACATAACATGTAATGCACACCTTGCTGAGAACCACTCTAACAGTGACCTCGATAAATGTATTCATGGAAGATGAAAACAAAAAGGTGATAAACTTTTATACATCACAAAATGAGACGATAAAATCTTATACCAAGATGAAGTGACAGTGAGATACCTTTGTTTCTCCTGAAGGTCTTGTAGAATATCCAAAAGGATCTTTAGTCCTTCATCACCAAAAAGCTCCACCCAGCTGTGAAAAATATTATAACATTAAACAAATGATATAGACTTTAAAAGAAATTGGTGCTTTTATTGATTTGTTAAATATGCATCTCAAAAAGCTTTTTTGTGATGCAAGTAACGTGTAATATACATCAGGAAAATGTAAATATTTGAATGTACGTTTTGCACAGAAGTGTCACAATCCTGGGACTGGAGCTCAAAATTTAATATTTGTTGGATATAAAAAATAAATTTTGCCTCAGCTCCAGCAAAAGTTGCAGCCACAATGTCAATAAGAACAGCGATTTCACAGATTCTCATTTTTTTCGCCTCTTTATGAACTCAAACCCTACAACAGCAGCAGCGGCAGCGGCTGCCCTTCCTTGACTCCCCACTGCCTCCACCCTCATCCTCAGCCCGAAATTAAATTCACTCATTCCCGTGACGGCACACCTGACAGGATTGCTGGTGAGGGACACTCTCAGAGACTCCAGGCAGGAGAGCAGGCGCTCCTGATCGGAGTCGTGTTCCATCTTCCGAAGTCCAGTCAGTTCTGTTATGTAGTCTTTTCCTGACAATGCTGTGTCCCGTTTGTGCGCTCCACCCTGTGCCGCGTAGCACCACACCACAACTAAAACGTCCGAATGTGCAAATAACAACCAAAGATAACTGCAGTCGCAATGGATGCATTTCAAGAAACACGCATCGGTTATTACAACCAAATGGTAAGCAGAAGACGGGGAGGAAATACAAGGTGGCATCCTCAAATGTGTCTGCAGTGTTATTAGGCATGGGTTGAGAATGCACATTAAACAAGTGAGGTTTAATTGAGCCTCTAGGTACACATTTAAATCCCACAGGCACAGTAGGTGCTTCTAGTTTGAGACTGTCAATCTTCTTGGGGAAAAAAAAGATCAATGCTTTACATTCTAATTATACCACGTACCTGAAGTTAAACTGAAATTAAATTACTAACAACAATTCATTGCAAGAATAAGTGTAAAGAAAAGTTTACAACTACCTGAAAAATGAGCAAAAAATATCTACCAAAAACTTTGTTATTAACACTGAGAATGCACAAACTTCCAAATCTATTTAAATTGGGAGCAGGATAATCATTGCATGCAGATTCAAGCAATTGGACAAGGGTGTAATTTCACCCAGAAAAGCCTCAGTTTATCCCATATTCATTTGGCCAGAAAAGGAGAGCAAAACAAGGTATAAAACAGCAACTGAAACAGGGAATAGCACCTATCCTGCGTATCGCCATCTGGCTAAACGCGATTGAATGAGCGTGCTAAAAAGGAGCGAAAGCTGTTACGGGTGCTATCAACGTAAATCACACCCCAATAAATGAAAAAAAATCAGCACCCAGTTCAGTGCGTGGGAAATGTCAACCGCCAGATGGGCCTGAAATTTTAATGGTTGGCTTGATGAGTTTTGCCGTGAAGCTTCGGGGTGTTTTGGGTTGGATGAGGGGAGTGGGTGGATGGGTGGAGGGAGGGGAGCTAAGTGTTGGTTAGCATATCTCTGAGGATTGCTGATAAGTATGTCTGTCGAGGGAGCAACGAAATGAGTCAAGCTTCAGGCCTTTCTCCAATTACTTTGGTATCGCTTAATTTTCACTCAGGGTGGGCATATTCTATCACATTTTCAAAAAATGTATTCTACGATAAGTGGGTGAGACTCTATTGGACACGTGTCACATTTTTTGACAATACATACATCGCATACAAACATAAATTATATGTTTTTTTTTTACTCAAGAAACCACCTGAATTTCATCCCGGGAGTTTGGAAAATAACATATCTGGGAAGGATTGTTGTCAACCAACTCATGATCACGAAAATAAACTTCACGTAAAATGTTATGTAAAATCTTACACAAACATTTTATGTAATGATTTCAACAACATAGGGCATTTCTTTTCAAATCGAGACATGTACACAAGCATAACATTGGACAATACAAACTAGGACAAATGCACACACTTTGAAAACTTATCAAGTGTGTACATATTCTTTGGGTCTTTCAGTAAAGTGAGGTAGATGGTTCAAAGAAAATAACAGAAAACTACGACATTTCGATTACAACACAAGCGACCCAAAGAATATGAATTCCTGCAGTAACGAAAGCTTTAAGTCAAGATTTAAGTATGTACATATTCCTTCAAGGCACATAGAACAAACAGAAAAAAAACCTCAAGCACTTAAGTGAAAAAATAAAGTATAATCTGGTCATCCACATGCACAGAAATCTCTGGTATGATACTCATGAACGTGTAATTTTTAACTGTGTAAACACACATACACACGTAAATTAAGTGTATACATAATACGCACATGCCCCTCTTATGAATATAAGGTAAAAGTAACACACACACTGCCTGGTTATTTAACAAAGGAAAATGTACTATTATCACTCTGACACTCATTTACTGAAGAAAGCCTCACTGGGTCGCATCACCTTTATTTCATGATAGGAATTTTCCAGCATTTGGAATGTTTAGCCAATAGCAACAATGGAAGACAATCAGTGAAACCGGACGAAATCATTACAAAACAGGGGAAGAACTTACAAACTCCTCACAGAAAGGTTCCAAAATCGGGAATCGAACCCAGGATTCTCTTACTGTGAGGCACAAGCATTACCACCGTGCTGCCACCCTGCGACCCAAGACCAGCCCAGGTATGTTCCATATCGTTTCAACAAAACACTGTTGGCAATTACTCTGTTGGCAATGCGATGGAGCCATTTACATTTCCAGCTTTAATAATTGTTAAAGTAACTCGTGACAGTTCAGCATAAACACACCCACTGCATTGCAGTTTTCAATTTACTGAAGCGACGAAGAAAACTACAAATTATTATCGCGTGTAAAACGGTGAAAGAAACCATCCCAGAGATTGCAAGTAAAAAGCAGCGAGTTATGAAAACCACACTCAAATTAATCACATATACAGCCCAGGAAAAATAATCAAATGCGGCTGTTGAAAAGATGACTGCAATTTGCCATGTGATCTGTAAACGTGAGAGTGCGATTAAAAGAAAAAGCTCCTTTAAGTATGCAAGAGAGAAGGATGATGCATTCTGAAAGGTGAGGTGATATTTACCCCGTTTCCTTGGGTCACGCAACCCCAATTCTTTAGCACCACCAATCTAACAACTAGCCGCTTCTTCCTTAAATGTCACCAAAGGCAAAACATTTTTCACTCACATATTCCTTGAAATTCAAAGCTGAATAAATAAACAACCCTTTTTCCGTACGAGCACAGAACAACACGCGTTACTGAGGATTCGTCGCTCTTAATGATGCCGACGGAGTTTGCTTGCATGTCCACTGCTCAATTGTAACATAATTTAATGACGTATAAATAAGGCTTTCCGCAGGTTGAGCTGATGCTTACATTTTTCTGTTAAAATGTTTTTTTCGCTCTCCAAATATTCCTTTGTGTACACAACAAGCTTGTGTTCAAGTGTTCAGTGTGTTATCAGTACTGAGGGGAGGTTGCTAAAATAAAAACAAAAGCAGTAAATATCAGTTGTGCGAGAAAAAAACATCTAAATTCATGTGCTTGAAACTAAATGTATTCACTGTCCTTCAATAAGGGGAAAACCTACTGCGCTACATGACCTCTGTGGCAGGAAACAGTTGAAGAGTTAGGTTTTCAGCACAAGATCCACTTTAGACTTACGATAAGTGCATTGTATAAAGCGGTTTCAAATCGATTAATTCATACTTATGCAAATCATACGCTTAAGTTAGTTCTATGCTAATGGCTCTGAAATGTACAGATGAGACAGAACAGACATGAGACATTATAAACGAGGGGTTAAAATAGGACTAAAAAGAATTTCGTCTTGAAAGAAATCACATCCCCAAATCATAACAATTAATAAGGTCGCTAGGGAGATGAGTCATTACATGCATACCAACCAGCCATTCACACAGCTATACATAGCAGCAATGCTCTCACGTACCACATAGTAGACCTGGGTAACTACTTCAAGAATCATATTCGAATCCTGTGCGAGGACTATTTCTGCAGAAATCATGCTTCTTTTATGAGTAATTCCCACGTTTAAATCTCCATTTAATTCAAATAAATTCTAACAGATATTCTTCCATGAAATAGCAATTCTACTGCAAAATCTACCTTAGCTAATATCTATGATTAGCTTAACTGAGCATCATCACTTCCAGTTGTCTAGAATTGGCAATTCAAGCTATTTTCAGGAATCCAGAATCACGGCTGAACTGCATTGGCAATGTCCAGTGTGTGGAATTGGCCGGATCAACCCAAATTCCAAGGAAAGGCCCTCTAGGACTTGGACAGCCTAGAAGGGGCCAGACTGGACGTGGTACTTAACCATGCCCAGGAAGAACGTAATCAACCAGGTAGGGTGTTGACTGTTATGTTATCCGACTCTCTGTTGCATTACATTACATTTCTAAGTATACTAGATTTGTGTTTCTATTTCATTTATACCTGATGATGATTGCTTGTGTTGCAATCGAAACGTCGTATGCTAGTATTTAATTTATTATTTGATCTTTATACGTGACTTTACCGAACGAACCAAAGAGTAATTCCTGCAGTCACGAAAGCTCCAAATTAAGTTTCAATATAATATAGTTCCTAGCTGGAAAATAGGATCGACAGAATCTTGGAATCATGGTTGGCCATGCCGCCTGGATCCCTGAATGGCATTTAGGCAAGATAAAAAGGTCCATGGGGTCTGGCTGGTCGAGAGGAAGCGCTTTTGAAACATATGGCCAATGCTTATGTAATACTGGTCAATATCAGCTGGCTGTCTTCTTGGTTCTTTCAATAAAGTCACGTAGAAGGGAAATAATAAAATAATAATAATAAAACATAATAAAATACAATTCTCACGACATTTCGGCCACAACGAAAGCAGCCGTCCTCAGGTGAAGAACAGGTCTGTCGGAAAGACAGCGTCTGAATGAGCACCACCAAGCTTGGCAGCGTATATTTAAGCTGGGTTGGAGGGGGAAGGGCGCCTTGGCAAAGGAATTTGCATATCAAGAGGAAATTAGCATATTTATGGGAAATGCAAATATGGGATTAGTCACTACTAAGTAGTGACTAATCACTACTTAGTAGTCACTACTAAGTAGAGACTAATCCCACATCTGCATTTCCAACCCAGCTTAAATATACGCTGCCAAGCTTGGTGGTGCTCATTCAGACGCTGTCTTTCCGACAGACCTGTTCTTCACCTGAGGACGGCTGCTTGCGTTGTGGCCGAAACGTCGTGAGATTTGTATTTTATTATGTTTTATTATTATTTTATTATTTCCCTTATACGTGACTTTACCGAAAGAACCAAGAAGACAGCCAGCTGATATTGACCAGTATTACATAAGCATTGGCCATATATAATTCAAAAGCGCTTCCTCTCGACCAGCCAGACCCCATGGACCCTCTTATCTTGCCTAAATGCCATTCAGGGATCCAGGCGGCTTGGCCAACCATGATTCCAAGATTCTGTCGATCCTATTTTCCAGCTAGGAACTATATTATATTGAAACTTAATTTGGAGCTTTCGTGACTGCAGGAATTACTCTTTGGTTCTTTCGGTAAAGTCACGTATAAAGATAAAATAATAAATTAAATACTAGCATATGACGTTTCGATTGCAACACAAGCAATCATCATCAGGTATAAATGAAATAGAAACACAAATCTAGTATACTTAGAAATGTAATGCAACAGAGAGTCGGATAACATAACAGTCAACACCCTACCTGGTTGATTTCGTTCTTCCTGAGAATGCTAAATTTGAGAGAGAGATAAAACACAGAACCAGAGACATATAGACAGACATATAAGCAGACATATATCACAGAGATACATAGAGAGAGACAAACATAGGCACACAGAGAAACCACGCCTCTGTGTCGAGGCCTTAAATAGAGAGAGGGGGCGGGGGCGGAGAGAGAGGGAGGGGTTAGAGAAATTAGCATGTCAATGAGTGGCACGGTGAGTGGCACGGTGAAAAAGCTTGAAAAATTTAGGAGACAGGGAGAGAGACACACTGAATTAAATAACCTAGCAAAATTTCGAAATGTAATGTAATGCAACACAGAGAGTCGGTCAACACACAATTAACGCATAGCCTGGTTGATTACGTTTTTCAAATTTCACACTTAACGTCTAACTTAGCAATCTTTGAAAAACGTAATCAACCAGGCTATGCGTTAATTGTGTGTTGACCGACTATCTGTGTTGCATTACATTACATTTTGAAAAATTTTGCTAGGTTATTTAAGTCAGTGTGTCTCTCTCCCTGTCTCCTAATTTTTTCAAGCTTTAACACCGTGCCACTCATTGACATGCTAATCTCTCTAACCCCTCCCTCTCTCTCCGCTCCCACCCCCTCTCTCAAGCTTTTGCACCATGCTACTCATCGTGCCACTCATTGACATGCTAATATCTCTAACCCCTCCCTCTCTCTCCGCCCCCGCCCCCTCTCTCTATTTAAGGCCTCGACACAGAGGCGTGGTTTCTCTGTGTGCCTATGTGTGTCTCTCTCTATGTATCTCTGTGATATCTGTCTGCTTATATGTCTGTCTATATGTCTCTGGTTCTGTGTATTATCTCTCAAACTTAGCATTCTCAGGAAGAACGTAATCAACCAGGTAGGGTGTTGACTGTTATGTTATCCGACTCTCGGTTGTATTACATTACATTTCTAAGTATACTAGATTTGTGTTTCTATTTCATTTATACCTGATGATGATTGCTTGTGTTGCAATCGAAACGTCGTATGCTAGTATTTAATTTATTATTTTATCTTTATATGTGACTTTACTGAAAGAACCAAAGAGTATATTATATTGTAAGGATATTGCCATTTCAGGCTACGAATCTTGAAAATCACCGAGCTCTCCTGTATATACTTGGGTACACATATATGTATAAGCAGGCCAATGGCTGGAAAATACAGGGTGACCCAAAAAAAACGGGCTCCGTGCACACGGGGCCTATTAGAGTTGGGGCCCGTTGTTTTTGGGTCACCCTGTATAAGTACAAATGAAAAGATTATAACCAATATATACAATATAATAAATATATATGAACAAGATATAATTTCTCAAAAATTATACGTGTTACACAATAGTGGGTGGTATGTCTTCCCAGAAAAATATGTTTGGCCAACTGTGGCTTCTTAATATCACTTTTAATGCATTCAGTTGGCTACCCTATTGTAACGAAAACAGTTCTGATAAAACAGGCTAAACTATACCTGATTCATATTCCAGTACTGTTGATTTAATTACGTGCTGGAAAATAAACACAATTATTTGAAATCCAATACTTCACTTATGAAAATCTTGAGAAAGTAGATTTGTTTTTACTTACTCTTTTATCTGCCATGAACACGAAAATACAAAAAATTACTTTTTCAATACTAAAATTATAGCTCGAATGAAATATAAAGCAGGCAGAGTAAAATGTATTTAAGCAATAGATTGCCAGGTCTAATAGAAGTCTGGCCAATGTGGGTTTCGGCTTGGTTGTTATTCACATGCAAGGGTCCTCTGTGGGTGACACGGCATGGCCTCATAGTATAATCTCCCAGTCGGTAAAGCATGTCATACATTCCATTAAATAGCAAGCCTGTGGGATACCTTTATCTCAAAGGCTTTAACCTTGATAGAGAAACAAAACTAAAGCGAATTCCTCCCCGCATCCCAGTGTGTGCTCCCTTTTCTACTTCGTCATTTAGACTTTAGTTTTGTGGTTGGTCAAATCGGCTTGATAAAGATCAAATGATCGGAGAACATTGCTGTGCTTTCAATTATCTGCTTAATATGGTCTTTCCAAAATCAGTTTAATTAGTAATAGGGCAGTTAATTGTTTCAATTATAAAAATGTCCATGCAAATGTAGGTTTCCCATGTAAAATGTTGCAATGAAATAAAAAATTGCCCAATACCAAATTGAAACATATGCCACATGCTCATCTTCATTAAAAAAGGAACTAGCCACCTACCGCGGCTCATTGCTTTGCTCATTGAAAACATAATGAAGAATATTATTATGTGTAGAGTTTAGTTAAAATTTGTTCAATTCTGGGATGGTAGCATTTTTAATTATCTTAGAACATGCAGTGAAAATTATTTTAAGGATACTAAAAACAAACCAAAAAGTAAATAGGTCGCATCAACAAATAATTACAAGGAGTAAAACATGCAGAAATTTGTAACAAATTCTTTATACAAAAAAGCAAAAGAGTGGACCCTTACTGCACACATGTCACCACTATACAAAAGCAAATTAGCCTGCTTGATTAGTGCCACAAAACCATTTTTCCCCCAATCTCCCTTCTGTCATTTTCTCAAGTAAATCACAAATTTGCGAAGCCCCTTACAGACAGGCCATGCCATTTCAAATTCCTTGAATAATGTGCATCGCCAAGGGAATATTGCCATACCACCTGTCAGTCCCATTCTTGTTCTCCATAGCCACAAGCGGACACCCGTCATGAGTGCACACCTCGAACACTCACTGATAAGAAGTAATTCTGGGGTAATCAGGGTTCCTTGCTCTCTATGTCTTTTCTCCCGCTACCCATTTCGGTGTGTTTGGGCTGCCCATCAGATAGGATTGAGATCTTCGGTGGCACCACAACTCATGACTCGGAGGTAAATGTCACCTGTAATAATTTACGCATACAGGCCACGAACCTTAGTTTTGGCAATGCTACTAAACACATAGTCCAAAGATGGTCTGCCGTTATGAACACATTCTGACTGCATTTTATGGTGTATCTATCCAGAACGTGGCTATGAATGACAAGTTAGTTTTAAAATGCATGTCACAAAAGGCATCAGGTATTCCAAAATGTAATTTAATGTACTTAAAATGTCAAAACAGTCTGAACTGGAGCTTATTTGTATTCTGTTCATTGATGCTGTTGATTCAGAATATAAACAAGGCAAATGCCATTGGTTCTTTTTAATTCTTCACAACATCTGCAACCTGTTTAACGATAATGGGCATGGCTTGCTGATTATGTCTCACCATCTAATGTTGTACAAGATCTTTACATGAAAACATGCCTTTTTCAGTGGGCGTCAAATCTAGATTTTTTTAAAATAAAAAATTGCTGTAGTATAAATATAAAACTTCAATTATTCAGCAATAAAATGCCTTAAAATTGTGAATTTTTTTTTTTTTATCAAATATAGGCATCAAGTAAAAGATACACTTTAGAGTTTCCTTATTCATGAACACTGAGAATAAAACTAACGTCACATTAAATTACGTAATAATCAATCTGACAACAACCCGTTCAATAAAAAAAATACAGCAGTGCATATCGTTAGGTCATTTCTGTTAAATTCAGGTAGACTAGCACGAGTCATGCATTACCATGGTATATGATGACCTCTGCTGGACAAAATATAAATTATTCAAAGAACTAACATGTTTCTTGCGTGCCAACTTTAGGGCTGTAGCGGTGAAATAGTGCCCTCCCATGGACAAATAATGTATTTCAATGACAGGCAATTCCACTGCAGTGGAGATGGATAATGTTTCAATCAGCACACCACTTGAACTCTGTAACATCTCAGAATCCAAGGGTTAGGGACAGAAATCAAAGTTCAGCATTCAGTTGGGGACAAGAGTGGGAGTGGAGGTGATGACAAACTCACCGTCTTGGAAGAGGAAGCCATGTATTGTAAAACCATGTCACGCTTCGTTTTTTCATCTTTGTGGCGCAAAGGAGCCTTGTGGGCCTCACTGAGGTTCATGTCCTCCTGTTGTGTAAAAAAAATAGCAGCACAATAGTACAACTTCTCAGAATATCTGTAAATCATTAAAAAGATCAAGCTTGGAGGAATAAAAATGGAAAGTACAGTACAGCTTTATTCCACAACCACTCTTACTCCAATTATCTACAGGAGCTGTAGGGTCCGGCAAAAATTCCTATTAGCTGTGTTCCTATTATTCTTATTATTCACAATTATCCAAGGATTTTGCTATTATGATTTGCGGAATAGCATTCTTTTATTCGCCATGGTTAAGAGTAGTTGAGCAGAAAATGCACCTTCTTATCCGTAATTGTTTCCTACAGACAAAGGCGGGCGTGGAGGTGGGATACAATCATGGATAATTGAATCCGCGGTATTGGACCTCCACATCACCACGAATAAGAGGAATTCTCCCGCAAAAAAAATAAGAAAGAAAACGTATGTATGGTGTTTTACCAGCATCTTCTCAAAAAACGTGTGGATCTGATCCTCGGTGAGGTCATCTCCACCGAAAGGTAGCTGAGCCCCGCTGGCGAGTTGGCTATCACGGCTGCTCGGCCCTCCTCCACGTTGCACAACGACGGGGCGGTCCCCTTTCTCCTTGTCCTTCTTGGCGCCAGCACGGATGCTTGCAAAGCGGTCCAGCTGCGTTAGCACAACACACGGGGGGAAACATTAGCGCGAGGAGAATTTCTTTCAACAATGCAGAGTAGTTCTTTCGAAGGCAAGTGCAACGGTAACTGTCAGAAATTTTAAACCAACTTCGAATAAAGCGTAGTTGCAAGCACAATGCGCATCTTGCTTGCTTGCACGCCCTTTTCAATGTACTATTTTATTTATACTTTTTTTTTTACAAATGCGATGTGAAGGGTAAATGAGCATAAATTTTTTTATATATATAATGACATAATAATGTAAACTAGAAAATTCAGTATATATTAATCTGTAAATAGTTCCAATGTAGAGCTATGGCAGTAAAACACTTTATTCCTACGAACCGCATTCAAGTACAATTTACAGGTGTCCTATTCAATTACAATAGTGCATTTAACGGAACAGGAAACTGCGGTCATCTGAAATGGCCTCATCTTCTCACACTCATTGGTTAGGAGTGTATGTGATGGCTATGGTTAGCCTTCACATCACTTCTTTTTTCCCATATACCAAGAATACAAATGTAAAAATTAAGGCAAAGAAAAAGGTGTTGCTGAAACCACAGTAAGGAATAATCAAAGCTCAAAATCAGATAAATTACCCAACGATGATGAGCTGTCGCAGAAATACTCCTGAAAATCTCTAGTTTCCTTCAAGTTAATCTCATTCTTCACGAGAAAATTATCAAATCCAGTTGCACATTTTAGACGTGACAACACAGCAGCGATAACAATTATGGGTAAACAATGAAGGTAATGAAAGCTGCGTTTGGCTCATGGAAATGCACGGTTGAAATGATGTAAATTTGGCGAAAGCCACGACCAAGGGCAAACGTACATTACAAATAGAACTGTCTTGGCAATCACGTTATTTGGGATAGCTTGCTCAAGCGTGCTACATCTCACACTGCAATAATGAAACACGTACACTAAGTGGAATACCACGGAGCCAAGGCACACTCCGAAATGTGCAGTAAATGTTTACTCGTGCAATTCCCATTAGTCAGCAAAGCGTTTTCTTTTGGAGGAAAGCAAAAGCATTCACGATGACATTCCATCCATGCGCACCTTTGGTCACATGCATGGCACTCGTGAATTTGCAAGAGTTATGCAAACAGAAATTGTGTGCAGATAGCCTATGTAAGCAAGCAGCACACACGACCTTACCAGAGACACCTGCTCATGATCCGTAGATTTTTTCAGTTTCTGCTCTCCAAAAACGAGGAATTAAAAAGAAAAAAAAGAAAAGAGAGTAGAAAAAAGAACATTGATTGCTTGTTAAATCCCATCACCAAATACAATCAGAAGGGTAAAACAACAGTCAGTGATGCCCTTGGAGAAGGGTAAGAGTTTTCCCATGCCTGAAATTGCTGCATGTGCTTATTTAACTTTCTTACAGGCGATTGAAACAGAGAAGACAAAGTGCATGCTCACAGAAGGCACACAAAGACACACTTTAAGAATATGCGCCAAATCAATGCCAGTCCATCATTTTCAATTCAAATTGTCACTGGTCATTTTTATTCGTGTAATTTCCTTTAGTTTTCCTCTTGGCAAAAAAACAGATGTTGGTCGCTTCTAGACCCATCAATAAATTCTGCACAGTGGTGAAAAATAACCAAGCGGTAGCATCAGCACTTAGATGTGATACACACACTCACAACTAGTTGCAATATTATGCTCTATGCTCTTACTGAGGAGCCAACTGCTTATTCCTGCTTATTCCAATAAGCAGTTATCCCCAGAACGTGAACGAATCGGCATGCTATCTGCCGTATATGTTGCACTGCATGACCCTTGTTCTGGCAGCAAGAGTAATGCAGCCACCTGGTTCGATAGCGCAGTATTGTCACGCTCTTCTTTAATCTCGCAAACCTCATGTCGCCGCTGTTTAAAGTTTGACTTGCCCTTTAGGAAAGCAATCTCTATTCCTATAACAGTATACAGCTCGCCACATCCAACCATTTTTTTTCATGGTACGTTTCCCACGTAATGCGGCTCACAGTGGCACTCATCAGCTTGGTTATGCTCCAAGAGTAATACAGTGCCAGTGTCCAAGGAATTTGTGACTCCATTTCTATCGAAATAGGTTTATTGGTTTATCTTGTGCTTTTTAACACAGTAAGTCGTGAATTCATGTTTCAATAAATCTTTCCACGCAAGCCAAGAGGGTCCATTTTTAGATAGTATGGATGCTGATAATAACAGAGTGGAGGAGCAACACACCATTTAAAATATGTATCTAAAAACTCTCCTTCATTATTGTCATCATCCTTAACTCTCCATTCATGAAATAACAAATTAATCTGCATGCACAAATGAGTCACGTGCATGCATTAAATAAATATTTTACAAGTTTTTGAAGGCAAGCGGGGATATATTGTTACCCTTTGATGTTTTCTATAAAACAAACAAAGTTATGCAAATGTTTCATTATTGTTGTTTTTGTGAAATAATTATTCGTATATTTTATAAGCTGCTGGCATGAGGTTGTTTATTATCAGTAAAATAACATGTTGTCTTACACAAATCCGAACATCCGCATATATTGGCAAGGGCACACTGACTTTCCAAGAGACAGTATACAGTGACCATAAAAAAAGTTACATTTTCCAAATAAGTTTACATTTTTGTTAATCTTTACAAATGTTTAAAAGCTGGATAACTCATTAGCATATGGCTCATTACAAGTCATAAACTGTAGCTACTACAGTAATGTCAGGATATCATTATAACTGTGCTCTGTATCTATTTAATCAGCGATGCAAATATTGCGCGTGGCATATTACTGCCTTAAAAGAAACACATATATAATAGCTGACGTTTCGAGAAATGGCCCTTCTTGATAGCACTTTATTTACATGTTATTTGACCCATGCGTGTTTTTTGCGTGTGTGTTCGCTGTGATTGTGCGCCACTGCCAATGTGAGCATCACAAACTAATGTGAGCGGCATATGGTATTACACGGACAAAATTGTCATTATTCTGGCACGGCGTAGAGGGGACCGTCTTGATTGCCTTTTTTGAGATAGCTTTCTGTAGTACAGCAAAGCATCTGACATTTGTGGCCTTGCCATCTGTGGCTTGGAAAGGAGGGAACATATATGCACTTCACTTATACCTACCAACAGAATTACCAAGCCTTGCCCACATAAGCAGACACTTTAAAGCGTCACACTCGGTGTGTGGTAAAACATGTTTTTACATAAACAAGACAAGTTAACAACACATTTACACGACACATTCATATTTATGGGAGCTAACCCTCCAAAAAACTGTATTTTGAATAAACAGGGTATTTTTACTGACTCAAATGTGGGTCAAACTTTGGCTTAAACAAGAATTCTGGTGAGAAATGGCACGAAGAAAAGTGGGTAGAGGAGTCTCAAGACAATTCTCACATGCGGTTGACAACCTGACTGGAGTGTGGCACCATACCAGTGCACATGCCCACTCTCCAGCAAGACTTTTGAACACCCACACACACACACATAAAAGATAACAATCCTCTCGGCAAATTAAATGTAGCAAACACAAATGGATGATACAGTACCGTCGTGTAAAACAACGTGGCATTCTCAAATGCAAACATTACACCAGATATTTGAGAAACCACATCAGCGCCACAGTGCCTGTTTAGGTCCTGCGGTTCCAAGTTGACGTGCAACTTTGTGACCAAAGGATCCCCGCGTCACTGTAGTGGGTTACCAAACATCTTGAAACAACATAAAACCAGTTCGCCTTTTGGTGTTCTCTGGTCTGACACTGGCGAGACGAGGCACTTTAGAAGGGTGTCCTAGTGTAGACCTATCAGTTTCAAAGGAAATGCCCATATATTTAGACTTAAAACTTTCGTGCCTGCAGGAATTCATATTCTTGGTTCTTTCGGTAAAGTCACGTAGATGAAAAATTAAAATAAAGTTACATGTAATTATCAGAGCATATTTTGTATTTGCATGTTCATCACAAGTACGTGTGCTTAATGCGGACATAATTCCTTGCAAAAGGTTTCTATTTGATGTTTGAACATCTTAATATCTGTTTTACTGCCGGAAAGGGTAAACCCTATTCTTATTTTTTCATAACATAAAACCGGTCAAGCTGCCAGGGAGTTACCCAAAACAATTACAACTACTACCACTTAAAACTGGCACCGCAATAACACTGCACTAAAACAAAGCACTGAGACTTGTGCTCAAGCCAAATCACATTTAATGAGCAGTTTTGAAACGCATGTTCCACTGAAGCTAAAAGTGCTTCGTTTTGTTGTGTGATATCGCACACAATGACCCGAATGCTAAGCAGGGCAATCTGTGGCAGCTACTATAATGAATACAGTATATATATCTCAAAAGACAATTTAAATTCCCAAGTAATAATCAGTTTTCTTATTTAACAGGTGTTCCAACAGTGCAGGGTCAAAAGATTAATTTGGTTGGAGCTGCTACTACAAAGCCTGGGCATGAACTCTTTGTATGCCACTGTAGTTGCGAATTAATTTGTTAACCCCCATCCTTCTCACAGCTATAAGTGAAAAGCGGACAGATCATCATCGACGGTGGTGAATTTGCGAATGCGGGGAAAAGCCGTCGAACTCGTTTGATTGAACATGCTCTTTACAATGCAAGCTCATGGACGAGATAATCTTACGGATAACTTGGAATGCTTTAATGTGATGCGAATGTCGATTTGGTGCACTGTAGGGCACTCTAGATTTATGACAAGCTTCCCGTTTTCAATAATTAAAAAAGGCGACAACAACAACAAGGTGATACTGCCGACGCAGAGAACGCCCAACGTAATTGTTACCAGCCTCGAAAGTGCAACGACAGACGTCACCCCGCATTTGGTTCGATGTATTTGAGTGGACGACATCCTGACCGTGTTACAATTCTGGCTAGAATATTTGCACGCACTCACGTTGTTCCTTTAACGCATTTGAACGTTCGTCTAAGCCGCAGGACCCCCCCCCCACCCAACGATATGCAACCGCGCAGATGGAGCAATGCGAATCAGCGGGGAGTGTGTGCAGCAGCGAGATACGTACGCGTGGTCGCATCACAAAACCGCAAGGGAGTGCCCGAGATTTGCCTGGGGACAGCACTCATCCAGCAGTGGATACATCGTGGCGAACGATAATGATTGTAAATGGTCGATTTCTTTAGTTCTTTCATTAGCCACACATTGTAAAAACTATTTTTTTTATTGATTTATTCAAGTAATGTATGTTCAATATTCCATTGGAACCTCATTTGCCAGTAAAAAATATGATAATTGGTTTTTTTACCCTTCTATCTGGCAACAAAACTGACACCTTTTTTTTACAAGGAGTCATGTTTGCATAGACCACAATACCTGCAGTCATAATGCAAACAATAAACATAACTCTGATAATATATGCACTGTCCTTGAAGTTGATTGGTCCACACCCGAGACAGCTTTCCTTAGAGCCAAGTCTCACATGGGTTAGACCAGATGACGCATATATTATCAGAGTTATGTTTATTGTTTGCATTATGGCTGCAGGTATTGTGGTCTATGCAAACATGACTCCTTGTAAAAAAAGGTGTCAGTTTTGTTGCCAGATAGAAGGGTAAAAAAACAAATATCTTAAGTTCAATATTGTAACATAGTGCGAGCAAAATTACAGCAGTGACTTCACAAAAGTGCAATCGCCTTGTGACCGTCACCTATTCATACTGCACGCAAAAAGCGCCCAGCCTCTGTGCATTTTGCAGAAACCAACAATAGCGCATTGTGGTCCACTGGTCTTAGGTCACCATCTCATTATAAAAGCCCGGTGTTCCGTTTGTCCATCAACTAAATAAAGGCCTGAATCAAAAAGTTATAGAAAGTGCTCCACCCCACACCCAGATGTGGGGGTAAAAAGTTTATCCAAGAGGTTTACAAACATTGACTCCCCCCGCCCCCCCCTAAAAAATGTTTTTGTAGACATATGCCTAACACACCCTACATAAAATAGTCAGTAGCCGTAGGTCGACAATTTTTTGTCAAATAAATGTGAACAAAATGTCACCAACCGAAACTAGTCTCCTGTTGTCTCTCCGTGTCGTTGCTGGCTGTCAGTCGGGCACAATTTTTAAAAATGTATTTCATTGCGACTGAAGGCATGAGAACCAGAAAGCAGTTATTCAATAGCTATGAATGATTATTGCATAATCCACAAAGGCCGGGTGTTTTTTTG